TAGAAATTTTAATTGCATATTTTCACTGAAATATTGAATTTTCACAGCTTATCATTAACAATCATTAAAAAAAAACAAATATTACAGCAGATTATCAAGACTAATGGAGAAACTAGATAATTATCTAGTAATAAATTTAGTTATAGAGAATAAATTATTGTTTTATTTTTAATAAATTAGGATTCCTTTAAAAAACTATTAAATGAAAATTTAACATAAATTTACGCGCATTCATTATCACTCTATTTTATTATATAAATACGATAAAAGAACCAAATGAAAATGATGATCCAAATATATCAAAATGGTGGGTAGTTTTACTTCATTTATCCTTAAATTTTGTCTTTAATTAATTTTAATTTTGAAAACAATTGTTAATAAATTTAAAATAATATTATTTAAATATTTTTACGGTTAATAAATGCATATTAATTCGAATTTACTAAGCCCCACATAACAATAATAATTATATATTTTTAAGGTATATAGATACAATAAAGAGAAAAATAACTAAATAGTATTTAATTTAGTAGATAAATATTAAGAATTATAAAATTATCCAAATACTAGAATCTAATTGCCATATATATTAACCAAACCTTCCAAATATGTACATACTTATATCAAAAATTAAAAAGAGAAACTAACAACTTTTTCTAGAAACTAGCAACTATGATGTTGTATTAGTAGAATTCATAATTTAATCAGTGCAATAGCCACAATCCTATAAATATATATGTTCTTGTTATTGTGTGTTTCAATAGTAGATTGTATGTAGCAATCAATGCAAACAAAACAAATACTTAGTAATCATGTGAATTACAGTATAAGCAATGTAGAGAACATTTCGTCGGCAATTTCTTCATGCCTCTGTAGCTCAGTTGGTAGAGCGTCCGCCTAGAAAGCGGTAGGTCACTGGTTCGAGTCCAGTCCGAGGAGAAAAATTTTTTAATTAATTTTTCTGCCTTTAACTCGTTCCTTTGATTACGTCATCCATCTGTTCTGCAGTTGCATGAAGAAATTTCATTTAAGTTAAATTAGTAGTGTAATAAGCACATTCTTATTAATTCGCAACTATGATGTTGTATTAGTAGAATTCATAATTTAAACTAACAACTAGTTATTATACTTTCTCTAACTTTTAAGAACATAAGAAGATATTCGAATTCTTTTCGATTGAATCTAGATGATTTAATAGAAAAAAAAACGAAAATAGATTTAAATAATTCAAAAAAAAATAAAACAAGATGTTAAAAATTGCACTTTCGCAAGAAGCTACAAAATACTTGGTCTTAATTCAAAAATCAAAAGTGATAATATTGGTAAACTAATTAAGTATTAAAAAATTATCAAAAAATAAAATTTAAAATTTATTTTCAGTAAAATTTCTCTCAAATTTCTTGATAAAACTTCAACGGTTTATTAAAATTCAAATGTGTTTAATAAAATTCAATAAAAACCAATTTTCAAATAACAATCCGAACAAATTTTAAATTGCTTTGTTGAAATTTCGGATCCAATTTTAAAGAAAACTCCAAACAGAATTCAATGTTTGAAAATATAAAATCAAATATTGAAAAATATTTCGAGCATCTGTTAAAAAATATTTTATTAATTATGCGTTTATTTTTATTACAAAATTTATACACAAAAATATTCAAAAAGTATTTTCTATTTTATCTTACGTAATTTTCCAAATACATAAAAATTAAAATTTAAATTAAAAATTATAAAAAAGAAAATTTCTGTGGGAATAATTTTTTTTTCTCAGTTCTTTTTTCTTTATAATCAATTCTCCTCCTCATAATCAATTAGCGTTCTAAATATATTTACATTACATTCATTATATATATTTATGTACATGCATTATACGTAAATACAGTAAAGGTTCTATTATATGAACGACACGAAAAACAATGTTGAATTTTCTACGCCCTATGTCATTTACTATTTTCAAACATTACTGTAAAGTCTAATTTTCTTCATATTCCCGCTGCTTAATATGATTCGTAATCGGATATTCGAAACGGAAATATCTTAAGCTGCTACATATATATTTTATACATAAAACATGTCCAACAACTTAATTTACTTATGTCAAATGTCACAATGACGTAAATGACATAAACACCAAAATAAGAATAAATATTTCTTCATCATTGAAATTTAGTGCACATTAATAACATTTTTTTTTATTAATGCACATAAATAACTTTTGTACGCAAAATAATTGATAGTCTACTGTGTATTTATATTTTGCATGCAATAAAGTATGAATGTACTTAAATGAAAATTCCTAAATAATTGTAGTTTACTAATAAAACACACGCGCAATATAATATACAAATGTATATATGCGTATATATATTGAGGATGTATTTTATATCTATTTGATGTACTCAAATTATACTTGAATAAACACTAAAGATTAGAGCATATTAAAAATATCGATGAAATCTATCGCCACCTTATTTTCCTCCTACAGTTTCTATTTAAAACTATTGTTTATTTATTACATTGAGATGAGGTGTATATACTATGCACATAGTTTTATATAAGTATAAAAGAAAAATGCAGGAAAACAAAATTAGCATTCAGAACAGTTTTTTTTTTTCATAGATAACTAATTCTTCTTTAATTAATTTGTTGTAAGTTTACAAGAGATTACTGGAGTAGTTCAAAAATAAAAAAAAATATATAAAATATGGAAAAATAAACGCATGTTCTGCTCTTTATTAAATTCAATCTATTTATTGATTATGCAGGAAATTTATTATGAGTTAAACGTATTACACTCTAAAATATCGCTAAATATTAACCGTATGTATTAAGAATTTTAATTTTGTATATACTCGTAGTTTCTTTGTAAAGTTTCTTTATATAATAATAGTTAAGGGTTAAAAATTCGCATTATGTATTTATCTAATATGAATTTAAAAAAATATTGAAAATTGCCATATTAGACAACGCCCGCAGTAGACATTGTATGCCGAATTGTTATTAAAAAATAATGTATTTACCAAATTAAAAATCCTGAAGAAGGGAACCAAATTTGTAAAATCCATAAAAAAAAATTAAAATGTAGAAAGAAAGAGACCACAAAATCTTAATACTAAGAAAATTTAATGTATTTAGACTGACCAGTTTTTGTTGTATGTATAACATATATTATTATATGATTAACAAGACCTAGACTATCATTTAATATTCTCAATTTTTTTTATTATATCTGGAAAATTGATAAATGAATTCTCTTCAAAATTCTTGCTAAGTTTTGGTAGAACTTTACTAAAGCGAATAAATTTAAGATGCAGTTCTTTAAAATACGACTTATTCCAAGAATTTCTCAAATAGAACAAAAAATGGACACTAAAAATATTTTTTCATTAAGTACTTACATACAATTTTAAAATATTATATAAAATCTTTTCAATCTTATTAAAATTTTAGCACGTACTGTTTTTTATTTACAAATTTTACACTTTTTTTTTTTAATATGTTAAATGCCAAAGTAGGTATATTTTACAGAAATGGGATTCTTTCCTTCATTTTCTTTAAAAATGAACTTTACAAATTTAGAAAAACTTTCGTATTAGTTTTTCTTAACATCGAATATTTAATAAGGCAATGAAACTTTTCTTTCCCGTATAAATAATAGCAATCATCACTCCATTTAATAAACCAGTATAGTTATACAAACAAAGTAAGGAGAGAAGACCAAATCTAAAAATTAACAAAGAATTGGTTAAAAAAAATAATTGAAAAAATTGGGAATAGGAAAGTATAATCATATTTTTATTTCACATAAAAACGAAATTCGTATTAAATATAAGCGCGATAACAATGAAATATCGTGCAATATCATTTTAATTTGTATAATTTATTTCATTGAAATTAATATATTAAAATGATAATATATTTAGTTTATTTAGATATCTTATCACTTATATTTAATTTATATATATACTACATATACATATTCTACAAATAAATTCTTTATATAACTATGAGGCAGTATAGAAATTGCGCATTCACTATTTTAATATACATATACATATTTGTATTTAAAATTATACATATGTATATCTTCAAAAAATCAATTATAATCTAAAAACGGAACAGGAAATATCTTCAAACAATAAATAAAATAAAAATTTTCAATTCAGTATTTGTTTTCATTTGATGACAATTTGATTCTATTTTGATTTTGCTATGGGGATTTGCTTTAAATACCTAAACATGTGGCAAGGTAGATAACTACCTACCTACAAATATTGATTTTCGAAATATGGATAATGCAAGCTATTAAATCCTCCATTTTTAACATTAGTCTATAACCAAAAATAGGTCTCATTTTTGCGAAATTATTACATATAGGTTCCTTAAATGTAAATATATTTAAACAAATGTACCTCATGCTCATTACATAAACAAATTTTAAATATACATATTTTCTTTTTAAGAACATGCTTATACAAAAATCAGTAATAATTTGGGAAATATTTTAACCAAAAATATTTTAACTGTGCCTTCTGTCACCAAGTGATTGAAAGTTTTATATAACATACACCAATTAATTTAAAACTCAGATTAATATTGTTTTGTTAATATTTCAACTATAACCCAAGAAGAATAATCAAGTTTACATTTGTACACACATATGTTTGTGTATACATATTTTCATATTATTTTTTAGATCCAAATCAACCTCATTACCCGCAATATCCGTTCTAAAAGCTCTAACCAGAAAATATGCATTATGAATAAACAAAGTAGAAACCAGAATAGATAGATTATATAGGATATGTATATATTGTTATTCAAAACATTAAATCCCTAACCCCTCTCTTATCCACCTCTAACATTTCTTTATTTAACATTTTCTACTATACCAACATACAACAAATAAATTTCATAAATCGGTAGACATTAGATACCGATCTATGAACTTGTTATATGAGATTTTTTTTTTGTTTTAGAATAATACACAGAATGTTTACCTTGAGTTAGAATCTATTTTCAAACGAGCAAGTTTATGGTCTTTCTGCTGTCCCCAAGGTGACGACGACAGTGGTGTTTGTAATGAATCTATACTTGATTTCCTCTTCAAACTATTTTGCTTTCTGTTTCATTATTAAATTTCATAAAAAATTTCAAAATTAAGAAAAAGAAAAGAAATTTTTCGTAGGAATGATTTTTTTTAAATTTTCTCTCAATTAAAATATTAAATAAAAAAAAGAGTACGAATAATCTAAAACAATTACAAATTTAATTTAAATTAATTGTTAAACTTACGTGATGTTATCCCTTGGTATGATACCTTCAATATCCATTCTGCTGTCTTCGCTGTCAACTGAAATAACTTCGTCGTCCATATATTCAAAAAATTTTTTAAAATTTGATTTTTATCTTCTTGTTTTAAAACAATGTGTACGTCCTATGTACTTTGTAATTTATTAAAGCAAAAAATTCAGAACTAATTAAATCAAGTCTTATGACGTGATGTGATTTTGGTTATATTTAATCGAAAGTACTCAGCACGTTTTTTATTACTTTTAATGTTAAAATTATTTTTTGACTGCACTTAATTCTTCAAATTTTGAAAACTTTACAATTGTATTAAGATTTCTTTATATTAAAAATTAAATCCAAAAATACAAATTGTAAATTTTATTAACAACCAAAATCCACCAAATAGAAGCTCACAGAGAAAACCCCGAACAACGAATGCGTTGATAAAAGAAAAGAACGAAATGGAGAATAAAATTTTAATGAGTTGCCGTAGAGTGACAATTGTCAAAGTTGATAGAATTGTCATTGCCAACTTTGAAAGCATTATTGTGAATTACTACGTATTTCGACATCTACTGGAAATTAAGAAAAGTTCGTTGGTATACATAATTTAAGGCCATTAAATAATAATAATTTTGTGAAGAAAAAGAAAAGGTCTCTTTAAATCAACATTTTATAAATTTTTCATTTGAAAATCTTAAAATTCAGGCTTTGCAGACTTTTTTCCATCAAACACTCATATGCATATAAGTTTATCTCATCATAATATTAAAAAATTAATTTAAACTATTAGACTCTATGTTCTAAATTTTTCCTTAAAATTTTGATTAAAATTTTATTTTCCCACATAGCTACTCTCTTACTGCACAATAACATTTGCTTACAAATTTATAATAAAAACTAAAAAACAAAATATAATAATATATATGTATTTGTTCGTATTAAAATAATATATATAAGTATATATGTATGTATGAAATTAAAATTTTTGATATGTTATTCACAATACATCCTTTGTTCCATTTACAGTTATGATATTTTTTTCGACAGATGGAAGTAGTGTTTTTGATTTACAACAGATGGGTCTGAATGTTTTTTCGGAGTTGTTTTGGCATTTAGTTGTTTGGCGTTTCAGTTGTCCTTTTTTAAATTGACGTTTGAACATTAAAAAATTGTTACTTTTATAAATCGAATTTAAAATATTTTTTTTCAAATTTGGAAATTTTTTCATAAAATAGCTTTTAATTTTATTTATCAAAATGCTAAATAGGATATGTATAAATAAATTGCTAAATATACCAGATTTTTTTCAGAGAAGTAAGAAATTTAAATTAATCATTAAAAATATAAGATTATCTTTTACTTGGTTTTACTTATATGCCGAAAAAAACTTCCGTTTAGAAACTCTATACCTCGTTAGCATTTTGAACATTTAAATCAAAGACGTATATATCTAAAAAAAGTTTTGATAATTTCATTACTTTTTTTATTTCCTTTATTTATATTTTATTTCGTCTTTCCACTCACTCTTTAACATTAAATCGTATAACAACAATTGGTTAATTGTTATACATGTTTCATTCAAGCTCGGTAGAAATCGATAATAAAATGGGAAACACATATACGGTTTCTTTTCTGACGAAAAGTTTTGCACTAGATTAGATTTTTATCTTTAATGGAAACTTACTCCATTGAAAGTATCAAGTTTATGAGAAAAGTAATTTGAAAATTAATTTTGTAGAAGAATCACAAAATGGTAAAGTCATAGGCTACTAAAAGTGGATTTGCTGATTCTTTGTTCGCTGTTAAGCTGATCTATTTTCAGCTGAATTATATTTTATTAAAGTATTACACTTTACTTTTATAACTTGCCAAGTAACAGGAGTATGAAGAACACAATATTCATATATTATATTCATACAATTTGAACTTTTTGAGAGAGAGAAAAAAAAGCTATACATGTAATAATAAAAATAAAGAGAACATCAAGTTCATACAAAATACACCATTCGTGGTGAAACAGCTGAACTAATGAATACAGATTTGATAACATAATGTATAAAAATTGAATATATCAATACAATAATTTTAATAGTTTTAATTATTTTTAATGCTAAAATTTTTTATTTTTTTGATTCAACAATTATTCACAAAAGGTTTTCATATTTGTATTTGTATTATTCAATATCTGTCAAACTCGTAACGAGTACTTTGAACAGTATACAACTGATAATATTCATAATGTTAAGCTTAAAGTTCTAACGACTACACTTTTTCTGCGTTTGAGTGAAAATATACTTATGTCAAAATTTCAAAAGAGGAAAATTTTCTCAACGATTTTTCGAAAGCTTTTTATAATAGCTTTAGGGGAGCCAAAACAAAAAAAAAACTTTTATTTTTTATTTTTATAAATGGCAATTGGTACCACTCAAAAATTTACACTTGTCAAATTCAGTTTTTCTGATTTGAATAGAATTTTCATTTGATGAAAAAATTATGCTGAGGCAAGTGTGTTAATCTAAATTTCTTAAGTTTTTTTTTAAATAATGAAAAATTATTAACAAAATTTATCAATGGATTAAATAAAAATAAATAATGTATTATTCAAAAATAAATTAATCAAAATTTACTAGTAAATTTTACAAATTTTAAGAATTATAATAAAAATATTTAAGAAAAAATTTTTACAAAAAAAAAAGAAGAAAAAGTAATGTGAAAAAATTATTTTGTTTTGTGTATGTAGTGGTGGAAATATTTTGTTGGCATTTTTATTATTTAGGAAATATTTTTTTTGGTGTAAAGAAGTTTTTCTAAAATCCTCCAATAGTATCGAGAAATACCGCCTTTTGGTAAGTACACAGTATGTAATTAATAAGATACATATTTCAAGATAAACTATATTTAGAAATATACGAGACATAAAAATAAAATTGTTGGAATTTCACTGAACAAATTTAGGTATGTTTAAATTTTGATAATGACACATGATAGAATCCAATTAGAATCTATGATATTACAGCTTTATTTACAAAATTTTCATGTATTAAGGAATTTGAGAAAAATCGAATTTTTCATGTGATATTTTATGTGGTACCCATTTTTTTTATTAGAATTAAAATTACAAAATATGCTTTTATTTACTTAACCTCTATTAAAATTATTTGAGCGGTTACATTTTGGATTCGACTTGGCACGTAGCTATATTAAAGTAAAATTGCATCAACTTGCTATATCAGTTTTTCATGTCGTGTCCTTTGGTTAAATTATGTATTTAGGATTTAATATGACTTAAATTTCTTTGATTTCTTGATAACTGCTATTTGTTTTCTTAACCTCAGCGAAAAATTTCAAACTTCATGTGCAATGCTTTTCACTTTGAATTTATCATTAAATTTCTGAGATAGATTTAAGTTCGTTAAATACATTAGTTAAACATTTTTAACTTTTCAAACGGAGTTCGATTGAGTTCCTTACTACTTTTAAATACTAAATGTAAATTCGTTAGAAATTTCTTAAAAATGCAGAAAAAGTACCATGTATTATTTCAAAATTAAACGTGTATTTAATCTTAAGTAACCCATCCAAATTAACTAATATCAAACTATTTAAAGCCGACAGTTTCGTTTTCAAATGATAAGAAATTAATTTAAATGGCCAGAGATGGTTCAAAGAAAAGAAATTTTGATAGAAATACATTTTCATAAAATTTCACAAAAAAAATTTCTACTTTACCATGGTTTCTTGTTGGCTAATTTTGGTCAAATTATTTTTAATTTTAAACTACAAAAAATTTTTAGTAATTATCATATATTTTAAACTAATTACAGAATACTTTAAAATTTACATAATATAACATCTAAAAATCGAATTAAACTTAAAATAAAAAATTACATAAAATTACCTACCATAAATAAAGAAACGGAGGTACTTAAGCTTTATTTTGTTTTTGTTCATGAGTTATCCTTATGTGTTCTCTTAAACTATATTTATTTTTAAAATGCTTTAAACATATCTCACATACTTTTGGTGGTTCCGGTGTGTGCTGCGTCCTAATGTGACGCCACAAATTCACACTTGTAATCGTCATTTTACAATAAGAACATTCTGTCCACTTATTAATCGCTGATGTAGAGTTCCCGCCCGTCGTTGTATTTTTATCCGATTCAGTTTCAGTTTGTGCGGCTGATTGTGTAAATGTACCTATTGAAACATCGTCATTTGAATCTATTGTCATTTGTATTGCATTCGATTCAGGATTTAATTTTTCATCTATGATTTCTGGGTCTTCTAATATCTCATATTCTGTTGTAAATTGACTATTATCTGTTTTAACCGTAATTTTTTCTATGGTTTGTGTTTCTTGTTCATTAACAATTTGTTGTGTAATATCTGGTACATGTATTAATTCTGGAATATTTACTTTAACTGTTGGTATAAATTGCATTTCAGTTCCTTTAACAACCCCTGTCTCATCTTTCGTAAATGTTATGCATTCAGCAAATGTTGTTTGTACGTCATTTTTTGTATTTGTTGAACTTTTTCTCCTCTTCGCTGCTATGGTAGATGAAATTGGTTCATGTGGGTCTATTGTATAGGTAGTAGTTGTTGTTGTTGTTGTACCACCATTCGCATTAATTGTCTGAATCGTTGATGGTAAAATTTTCGTTATAGTTTTACTTTCACTCGTACTTATAGGATTTGTTTCTTTAGGTGTTTTATCTTCTGTTGTTAAACCTTGTATTGCTAATAATTCAGCAGTTTGTAAAAATGATTGTAGTGCATCTTGTTGAACATTAACTTCACCTTGATATATAAATTGTATGATAGCGTTTAAATCCTCAAATTTAATAAATTTAAACACTATAACTGGATGCGGATGAGGATTATCATTAAATATTTCCTTAAAATATGCACTACATGCTGATAAAAGAACTTTGTGTGCTTTTATTTTTTGGCCATCGCAACATAAGGTTACATCCACTAAATCGCCATTACTTTTTAAATCATCAAATGCAAATGTTATGTGACGTAAATAATTATTCCATCTAAGTGAATATTGTTGTTGAGCTCGTATATTAGCCATTTTTAATTTATTTTATTAAATTTTTTATATTTTTCCTTTATAAAAAAGTTTTCCTTTTTTTCTCTCTTCTAAAAAAAATTTTTTATACTACTTTTGACTTCTTGTTTGTTTGGCTTGTTTTAAGAAACTGTCAAAAATTTATTTGACAATAGGAAGCAATGAGTGAAAATTGAAATGAATAGAGAAAGTACATGACATCTAGTGTTTAATATTAATGCATGAGTGTTGACGTTTATGTTCGAATTTAATTTCATACGAAAAAATATTGATTCATAAAAATTAGTAAATACTTATTAAGAGATTTTAGATGAAATTAATTTAAAAATGAAGTATAAAAAAATGAAATGAAGTCTTTAAAAATTGTTTTGTCTTTTCAAATTATAATTTTGATTTTTGAATTCATTTTACATTTCATAAATTGATTTGTTTTAATGTTGGTGTTTTCGTCTTTTATATGAAAAAAAAGCAATGCCTAAATTTATCACGGAAAGAGAAGAGAAAAAGCTCCGCGAAATATACAATGAAATATGTAATGCAGTGTCTATATTAATTTTTTTCGCATTTTACCAAATTTTTAGCAAAATTATTTTTTAATGCTCTATTTTAAGTGATGTTTGATGTGTATGCTAAATTTTTTCACGTTTTAGTGTAATAATTTAAAAATTAATTGCATGATGAGGTCATTGTTCTTGTATTTTGAAACACTGTTAAACTTTTGTCTTTTATTGAGTTTTTAGTGTATTTTTGGATATTTTCTTATTTTTTTATAATTCAATGTTTTTAATTCTGATTACTTGTAAAGTTCATTCCTATTATCAGTAAATTTCTTAAAACAAATTAAGATAAAGTTAATAGGTTTTATTTTTTAATGCAATGTTGTACAAAGTGTTTTAGAACATTTTATATGTCGGTAATAACTAAAACTTTTTTTTACTTATTACCTGCATATAAAAACCAAATCGGTGAATATCAACGGCGGGTGATTTCTGTTGTCAACACGGAACAATAATGGAACGGCAAAATTAACTGCTCAATATTTTTGCAAGATCTATTTTGGCTAAGTTTGCGGCGATAATTTCGCTTCATTCTGGGCAGTTAAATTTATGTGTGTTTGTATTCTGTATGAAATTTGTCATTTCGTCGCGAAAAATTATTTTTGTTCTGTTTTCACCTTAAACTTTTATTTTAATTTTTGCAAACTATAACAATTCTCTTGCACTTTCTTGGTCTATCAAAAAATGAAATTTTTGTCTTAAATGTATAATTTTAAGTTTTCAGACATAAGCAATTAGCCAATTAAGTTTTAAAATATCTAGTATAAAAGGCAAATTTTGCTTATGTTTTTAATAAAAAAATTAAAATTTTTCCTCAGTAGTTAAAATACTAGTAACAAAATTATCTTGCCACTTAAACTTTCTAACATACTTCAGTGCATTAGTAAAGTTTTTGTATGCACAAACTGGCACCACTGCCTGAAGAAATCTTAAGAAAAATGAAAACTTTAAAACAAAAAATTATAATTGCAACAAATTTGAATTTGTTGTTTTAAGGTTTGAATTTCCTGCATAGATCCTCAACATATTTTACATGGAAGTTCTTGGAAGTTAACACTTAATATTTTTACAATATTTAGATATATATATATTTTTTAATTATATTTACATAAGTATGTAAATAATTTAAAAATTGATGTTAAAATTATTATTGAGCTAATAAAATTTTTATTAAATATGAACTTATAAATTTTAAATGTTATTTTTAGTTATAAAAATTTTAATAATAATTTTCAAATATTTATTAATTCAACAAGTTCTAGTTTATTAAAGTGTTAAAGAAAAATATTATTGTAGCAAATTTTATAAAATTATAATAAAATTTTTTCATGATATTGTACAAATTCATAATCATTTTCATTTTCTTTATCATTGTGTGTGTGTTCAAAAATAAATAAATAAATAAATTATTTTTTATACTTATAATCTAGTTTTTTATTTTTATTTTAACTATAAACGCATAAATAAGAACTATTTCTTTTAAAGGAGTCAAATGTTATAGTGTTCATATTCACCTTTATGCTCATAAAATGAGCATAAATTATTTTCATAAAGGAATGCGACAAAATGGTCCTATTAACATTTCATCTTATTTTCATTATTTTTATTATTGTTCCTTTTATAGTTATTATACTTAAGTTTTATTTAAATATATATATATATATATATATATATATATATATATATATTTTGTGAATGCATTTTTATTATGAAAATGTGAGAATTACTCTCTCAAATTATGTACATGTACATGCATAATAATAAATAATATTTTAAATGAAAATTATTCTAATAATAATTTATATGTATGTTAGTATGTAAATGGAGTATGCTTTTACTGAATATGCTTACTTTATATTCTATGTATATAGCATGTATATAGAGTATATTTTTTCTATTAAATCAAAAATTTAAATTTACTCACTAGTTTCTTTATTTTTTTCTCATAATGGTTTTATTCCGTTTCTTAAATATTACATTACATACAGCGAAAATCTATTTAAATAAACTTTTTGTTTATTTAACAGAAAGATATACAAAGGTAATGAAAAAAATTTAATTTTCGTTAGGTACCAAAACTTTCTAGCTTTTAAGTTCTAGAATTGTGAATTTCTTAGTTTTTCATTTTATTTCTTAGTTTTTCATTTTATTTCTTAGTTTTTCATTAATATTTAAAGGGGATTATCGAAAATTTAGTTTTAATTTCGATCTTAACATAAATCTTGTTCATGAGCATATTAAGTAAGCATGTTCGATAAATCTTTACTACAGTACGTTCAAAAGAATTTTTAGAAATTACATACTTTATATTTGTAAAAATTATGAAAATTTTGCGTTATTCACTTGATTTTATTATTGATTATTTGAATTTTTATAATCCACCGTGTTGGACTACTGTTGTTTTCAATAAGTGTCAAATCATTGATTTGATGTTGCTATAACTTTTGTATTAAGTGCAATTTTCAAATTTGGATCAATTTGTTAAGGTTTGTTTACATTTGCTTTTAAGTTCCGTAATTATACTTTTAAGGTTATAAGCATTAATAAGTTTGTCACACCATAAACTTTATTAAAATTCTAAAATACTGCTTGCATAATAGGCATACATTATAATCGACCTCAAACTCAGTTTTACTTTTTTATAAAATATTTTTTATCATTATTGTGTCTCAACTTAGATTTCTTTTTGACATTTTATAATGTATGTACTTTTGGTTTAGAAGGAATAGCATTTACTGTAAATGTGAAAAGTACTGACACTCACGAAAATGTCATCATCATTGTCGTCATCACTCATCACCGTAATTTCCTACATTTTTTCCTTTTATCTATTTTATATTTATATTTGATAATATATTTCGTTAATATCTTTAGGAATAGGAGAAGGTGTGTAAACACGAAATTTTTCCTAATGTTAAATAGGCTTTGTGTAATTGATAAGCTTTCAAGGTGATGAGAATATGTAATGGCACTTTGCTATTTATTTACGTTTTTTTCTTAGCTTTGCTGTACTGTTATGTTGTTACTGCTGCTTTTGCTTTCTTTTTAATTAAAAATTTATTTTCGTTATGATGGTGTTGTTACTTTTATAAAAAGTAATAAGCAAAAAAACAGAATAAATAAAAGAATTAGAATAGAGAAAATAAAGGCATTTAGAGAGTGAATACAAATGAAGATGACGGTAACGGTGTCGACTGTCGGTATAAGTGGGCGGCTTATATTTTTTTATTTTAATTCTGTTTATATCTTTAAGTTTTGTGTATCTGATCTGGAACAGGGGTTTTGAAAAGAGTCTTTCCAAAGAGAACAAAAAAATCTTTAAAAAACATTTTAAATTTTTCTTTCTTTTTCTTTTTCTCTTTTTTTTCTCATTTATTTATTTATGTAGGTAATCGACAAGTTTGTTTTTTTTTGTACAGTAGAACAGATTTGCAGAATACAGAACACAAAATAAAAAGAGAAAAATATGAAATGAAAATTTTTATGATTTACATGTCAATTCTTTTATGTAATAATCTTTAAAAATTAAAACTTTTTATTCATTTTTTATGTAGATTTTTTCTTATGTATGTATGTATGCCTTTACATATACTGACTTAAACATATATGCATTGAATGAAGTGATTTTGGAGTATTGGTATTAGAGGGAAGAAAATATGATTTGTGATTTTCTTTTCAATTTGGATTAGTGTCTATCATTTTCCTTGTAATTTATTTTTTTTTCTCTCTTTAAAACTTTTCAATAAAAATTTTTGATTTTTATTGAATACAAAAAGGTAAATGTCGAATAGATTAATTGCTGCACTGCTTTGGTAAGTATAAGGCCAACACGTGGAGAGACCAACTCTCATTTTCCTTTTATGATTTTTAAAAAAAAATGTATACAGTTTATATGGAGAAAAAGAAAATTATAACTGTTCTTTTATGATTTAAGTCACTTACATTTAAAAACACTTAAATTTTTTTTATATAAATAAATTTTGGAGTTATATGTCGATGTTTGCAAAAACAAATTTGCCAAAAGAAGATACAGGCCTTCCTCATCGCCACTTAAAAGTGTACTGTGTTTTATGAAAAAAAATCAATATAAATTTTAAAATGAAAAATTTTCATACGATTTATATCGAAGATGACCCGATTGAAACATTTCGGAAAAAAGGAAAGTAGGTAGAAAAGAAATTATTGTATTCGGATTTCGAATAATTACAATTTCGAATCATAGCTCCTGTTAAGAACCTCTAAAAATTATTTACAACTACCTCAAGTTCATATATTCTAGTTTCTTATAATAACATATAATTCTACATTCTTATTATGAAATATTAGGAGTTTTTATATTGCATGAATGGTTCTATATATATAATCATATGTATGAAATAAGAGGTAAGTAAGTTCCATTCTATTTGATATACTAATTTTGATAACTGAAAGATAAACTTTTAATAATTTTTCAGTAGAAACTTTCTAGTCCTTTATATTTGCTGATGCGAGGAAACCAATTGTAGTGGTATTTTTTATCTGATTGCTGTTCAGCTGATTGTGTAAATGTACCTTTTGAAATATTTTTATTTGGATCTATTTTCATTTGTATTGCATTTGATACAGGATGTAATTTTTCATTTACGATTTCTGGGTCTTCTGATATTTCATATTCTCTTATAGCAGTAATTTTTTCTACAGTTTGTGTCCTTTGTTCATTAGCATTTTGTTGCATAATGTCTGGTACATTTCTTAATTCTGGAATGTTACTTTTAATTTTTACTATAAATTTTATTTCAGTACCCTTAACAACTTGAATTGCTAATAATTCAGCAGTTTGTAAAAATGATTGTAGTGTATCTTGTTGAACATTGACTTCACCTTGATATATAAATTGTATGATAGCGTTTAAATCCTCAAATTTAATAAATTTAAACACTATAACTGGATGTGGATGAGGATTATCTTTAAATATTTCCTTAAAATATGCACTACATGCTGATAAAAGAACTTTGTGTGCTTTTATTTTTTGGCCATCGCAACATAAGGTTACATCCACTAAATCGCCATTACTTTTTAAATCATCAAATGCAAATGTTATGTGACGTAAATAATTATTCCATCTAAGTGAATATTGTTGTTGAGCTCGTATATTAGCCATTTTTAATTTATTTTATTAAATTTTTTATATTTTTATCAAAAAGTTTTCTTTTCTTAATTCTTTCTAAAAAAAATTTTGTGACATTAAGTATTTTTAATTACCGACCGTATTGTGTAAACAATAGGTAGGTTATGTGATGGCAACAAATTTTGCATATCGAGTTTTCGGTGGGAACGTACTTCTCCATAGTAGGGAAGTGTAAATAAACTATTTTTAGCAACCTGTCGGTCTGTCGGTCTGTCGGTCTGTGTGTGCACGCGTGTATCTCAAGTTCGGCTGAACAGATTTTGATGAAATTTTATACGTAAGTTTATTTCCACCATGGCACGGATCGATCAACTTTTGGTATATATCAGGCCTCGGGAACTGCACTTTTTAGCGGGCCTGTTTTACATTTTTGAGCATATTGAAGAACATATTCAACCGATTTACTTGAAATTTCATATATAAGTTTTGCTCTACCGGCGATGAAACCTCCTAACTTTTGGAAGAAATCAGGCGTCAGCAACTGGACGTTTACTACGGGCCAAATATACATTTTTGTGTATATAAAGAGAAATAATCAACCGATTTCATTGAAATTTAATATTTGAATTCCTTGTATTAAAACAATGAACATGTAAATTTTTTGGAAAGATCAGGGCTCGAAAACTGATCTGCGGGCCGATTTTACATTTTTCACCATATCTACGGAACGAATTGATGGAGTTTCTTGAAATTTGATATTTGAGTTCTGATTGTTACCGAAACTAAATGGCGAGCATTTCAGGGAATTCGGGTAGCACAAAGCGAAACTCTACTAAGAGCCAAATTTACATTTTTCTAGGTATGCTAACTATAAGCTTACTAATGTCCTAAAAATTGGAAAGAAGTATTTAACAGACATTTTTATAATATTCTGTAACACTTTCACTTAACTAGACAATACACATTGCGGTCGGTTATGTGCTGACCACATCAGATTTTTTTTTGTTTGTTTGGCTTGCTTAGATTTGATTAGTAAAAAATTACTAAAAGTTTGAATTTATATGAAATAAATTTGAAATTATTTAATTTTACTATTACTAAATTAATTATTACTGAAATAGTAAATATTTAATGGTTAAATTGATTGATGAATCCGAAATAATTTCTTTAAAGTTGTATTTATTAATAATTTAAGTTTAATTCTTAAATGCTTTAAAATAATTATAAGATTAGTTAGTAAAATTAGATGATTTGAATTCGATTTTGTGTTGTTAGTAAGGGCACTGATGATTGGATTATAAGATTAAATATTCAACGGGTAATTTTTCTGTAAATTGAATAATATTTATTTTAAGTGTTTTTTGATAAAAAAATTGATAGATTTTGAATTCTCGCAGCAATTTTAATACAATTTTTAATATTAAGTTCTCTAAATAATCAGGTGTTTCTAAAACATTATAAATTTTTATATTAAAAACATAACAAATAAATAAACTAATTATAATTAAAGTCGGACCCGTTTATAAATAAGCTCAAATTTTACATCTTAGCGAGTTTTCTACTCATGTACGTAATACGAAAAAAATTTTAAGGAGATACTTAAAATTTTATTATGACATTTCGAACAGATAATTATGTTTCAGCTTATAGATAATTTAAAGCAGCTGTAATTTCAGAACTGAGTTTTAGATAAAACCGATTACGTCGATGATGCACTAATCGATGCTTTTTCGCCGTTGTCCTTATAAACGTATATAAATTATACGAATATAAAGCAGAAAGAATTCATAAAATCACAATATTGTTCTGCTAGTTCGAAGTTTTGCTATTGTGCGAGTTGTTTATATACGGGTCGAATTTTATGTACATATGTACATATATGTATATGTATTTAAAAGACGGTTTGTTTCGAATTTTAATTGAAAATAAAATAAATTATTTATGCTAATAAATTCAATTTAGCTATTATAATAAAATTTTTTTAACGCAGAACAAAATTTCATCTTATTCAAATTTGATAATAATTGAAAATTTAATTTTCAATATTATTGTATTCATTATAATTTTGTGAGTTTGTACTCAATGAAATTTTATTTATTGATTGAAATTTAAATTTTAGGTCACTTTTTTCGATTATTCGTTTTTTTTTTTATTATGTACTTATAATGTTATGTATGTATGTATATTTTTCTTAATATCGATAAGTGATAAATAAATTCATAAATATTTATGTTGAAATAATCAATAAATTGCATTTTGACGAAATTATTATAATTTTTTTTTTTTTATTAAAAAATAGGTCAATAAAATGCTTTCAATTTAATAAAAGAAATATATATGTACTATATGTACATCATTTAATTCATAATGAAGTTCTGCATGAAGTTATTAATTTTGAGGCAAGAAATTTTACGCGGCTCGAACATAAAAACAGAAAAAATATATTTTTCATTTAATAGAAAAAGAATTTATATTAAATTATAGAGAAAATTTATTCATGTTTTTAAGTAAAATTATTAATTTAGATAATGCAAACCTAATAATTTTATTTTATCGTTATTTTCTTAAAATACAAGAAAAAATTAACTATTTGTACAATTCATTTTAAGAGTGAAGGCATATATGAAAACGTTAGCAACTAAAATTTTTCTGAATTTTAATTAAAATTACCCACTTTTACCTTCTAATTGGAAAAATAAATTATTGTAAGGGATATTATTTTTTACTATATACATATGATAAATAAAGAAAACATATTTTTTAAATGACAGAAATAAATAATTTTGAATTTTTGGTGTTAAATGTATTTGGTGGCTGATGTCAAAATAATTTATATTGACATCAGCATATATATTTGGAACCAGTATAAAAACAATGTGTACATACTTTCAATTTTCAGGCCTGATTTACTCTTAAGTTCGCTTGATTACTTTCAGTTTTGTTTTAATCAGTGAAGGTGTACAACTTTACACTATTTATTTATAGATCAGTCTGAACTTATAAATTCATGTAGCACCATAACATGTGTGTACTGTAAATATTCGAAATTAAAAGAATTAATTGTAATTGGTAAATTAAAAAAAAATGTGTTTCCAATACATAGCTACGACTTTTTCACAGTAAATTGTTAAATAGAGGTTAATTATACATTTTATATGAATTGAAATTTTTGAACATGTTAATTGTTTTATCACGTGATGCTTGATTTTTTGGGTTAAATTGACTACTCATATTTATTTAAGTTCAAGAACTGGATTACTTCTTTTTTTTATTCATCATTTTCCCGGATTCTCGCAATATTATTGGCATTTTAATTGAAAAATTAATAATATTAGGGTTGTTTGTAATTTTAGAGAATTGTGTAGCATTTTTCAAGAATATGAAATATTAACTACCTCTTTCAATACTGTGAACACGAAGATATTTGATAAAAAAGAGAGAATTTTGATATTCATTTGTAAATTATGTAACTTGCGAGTTGCTTTGTAGAAATTTTGAAATTCTTTTGTGATCATCAATGTTTTTTTTTTTTGAAATTATCAAGTATTCGATTACTGAGGGGATCCTCAGTAGATTCGTTTTTAATAATAACTTTCTTGGTAATTAGGATTAATTTTTTTACAAATTGAATTAACCTGGGGCTAACGCAAAATAATATTCGCCACTTATATTTCATTACATTATGTATTTATTCATTTTGAAATTTATTTATATTTAAACACAATTTCATTGAAATTTTGTAAAAGCGTTCATTTAAATTTTCAGTTTTCATCATTATTTTAATAATTAAATAGTTGAGTATGTATTAATTTCTTGTATAACAAAAGAATGAAAAAAAAGGATATTCGATGTCCCAAAATATTGTCTTATTTATTTTCTTCTAACTACCACTATTGGTATGACAAACATTCTTTAATATCTATACTGTATATACATGTATACATATTTTGTGAATAACAAAACTGTAACATCAATTATCTTAATTAATTTTCCTTTAAAATAACTTAATTTTTCTAATAATCCTTTAAACAAACATTAAAAATGTAAAAATGTTATTGTTATAAAGCGTAACCTTTTTTTACTTAGTTATTTTTTTTCTTTCGTTTTTTGCATTATTTATAAAGGAACAAGGCTATATTTTCTAGATGTCAATATACATTCATAAATATATATCTTATTTTCACTTTACATATAAATTTCATTAAAATTTGAACAAGATAAAAAAAAAAACAGAGAAACGAAAAGAAAATTAAGAGAAAAGCTCACGCACATCAAAATGTCCTTGAAAAATTAATTTTCAAGAAAAAAAGGAAACCACTTAAATCTCAACATTTATCTCTCTGTTGAACTTTTTACTCAACTTGTAAAGAATAAAAAATATAATTGGCTATGTATTGTGCATACGAAAGCATGTATATACATACATATGTATATATGTATATTTGAGGCATGTTTAAATTTTTTTTTTAATTTACAGTGAGTTATAGAAATGTACTGTTGTGTTCGAATTTTGAGTAATTTTTTTTGACATAAATTACAAATATGAAACTGAAAATCGAATTCAAAGCCCGTTTTGAACGATTTAATAAAATTAGATAAACTGTGTAAAGACTATATTTGGGAAAACCGAATCAGAACGAAATAAGAAAATGAGATTGTATGCATATATGTATATGAGGACAATCTAAAATTTTAAGTAGAAGTGAATTTTTTTGAATTTTAAGACACCATTATCTTCTTTTTCATAAAAAGGGTATTAATTTGTTTTTCATTGCATTTAGTATGTAAAGGAACACATAATGTAGCTTAATAAATTGTCTCTTAATAATATTTTTGAATTTTTGATATAGTCGATTGCAATCTTATGCTGTTTTTGAGAATTCCTTGTGGGTTAATAGCCTAATGCTAATAGCATTACAGAACTTCGAAGTCTTATTCAACTTTATAAAATATAAAATTCAAGAAAATAAATAGCGTTGTCTTACTTTGTTACATTGTCTGATTCTTCTTTATAATAATATTCTAATGATATCAATATATATATATACACATATACTTACATTTCTGGGACACCTGAATTTTATACCTTGAACTATGTATTTAAATACATATTTTTCTCTATGTAC